GTTAAATCTGGCAAGATTCTTTCTCAAGAGTGGTTTAAACATACTTGCTGGAAAGAAATCAGCGTTCCATTTTCCGGGCACCCCGCTCTCACATCGATTAAGCAGAAGCTTCCCAATCAGTAAAATGCTCCTCCTCGTGAGTGTTACCTAAATTGACCTCTCCAGGGGTGAAAAATAGGTAGCTGATCCCTAATCACCCGGTCTTGTGCACCGACTGAACTGACTGATATTATTAGGTGAACCGATATGAATCAACATCGTTTGGCTCGAGGTCATGCAAGCGCTCAGCTCATCACACCAAGTCGTGTTTGTGACTTGCAGCACCACAAACACCGCAACTACTGTTCTCGCATTTGTGAAACTAAATTCATCTCCAGACTAAAATTGGCGTTCTACTAGTCGCAGTAGCACGAAACAAGGGTCATCCAATAAACCTCACAGTAATCGCTGTCTACGCCCCGAGTCTCCCATCTGACAACGTTAAAGATGACTTCTATGTCAGCCTTCAATCGCTTGTTAATGAAGTACGCAAACGGGATGTCGTTGCCATTGCAGGGCACTAGAACGCTCGAACTGGCTCACAAGATGTCACGAAGCACATCCTAGGGAGGTTTGGCCTGGACCAGTGCCGCGAGAGTGGTGACAGACTACTCAGACTGCTCGATTATAATCGATTGCTGATTACCAACACGCGGTTTCGACATCCAAAAAAGCATCTTCTGACGTGGTACTCCAAAGATGGACGAACAGCACACCAACTAGATTACCTTCTCATCCGTTCACGATGGGTTTCTTCGATTGAAGACTGTCGATCCTATCGCGGGGGTGAAAGCAGGAACAAAAGCGGATCTGATCACGCACTAGTTCGCGCGAAAGTTAGACTCCATCTACCTCGCAGGAAGATCGTCGCCTCACAACTCCTAAATTTGCTTCCCCCGGAAAACAGCGAAAAATGTCAGGCACTGATGGGCATAACTGCACAGCGGTCGAACGATCCCCTCAGTACGCAAGGAAACACAGCGAGTTCGGTTGAAACTCAGCGAACCAGGATGAAGTCGTCGGTACAACAAGCTGCCCTACCCGAACTAGGAATTGGGTCACAGTCTGAAGGACTGGATATCCGACTACACCATCCAGTTAGCTAATGCGGACAGAGAGGCACGCCTAGCTCAATCCTCTGCTGATCGCGATTTCAGACAACAGGCAACACGGCGACTCTATTGCGACTTATTCGATCAGCATGGGGCAAGAAGCAACTCACCCGGTCTGTGTTGCGCAGCATTTCCGGCGATCTCACTTCTGATGCCCCAAGAAAGATGTCTCGACGGATGGAACACTTTGGTCATATTCTCAATTGCCCTCAAATCCAACTTCCGTATGTGTCCTCCTCGCAATCTTCGCCATACGTTCCGCCATCAGTAGAAATCTCAGATTTCATCAGCCATCTCGAACCCCGTAAATTTTCCGGAGAGGACGGGATACCCACCGAAACCTACGCAGTGTCTTCCAGCTATTTCAAACCCTCTCCATAGCTTACTGTGCGCAATCTGGGGAACCGAAATTTACCCAACTAAACGAACCACATCGAGTTCACTACCTTTCCCTAAAAAGGGCGAAAAATCAGTGTGTGAAAACTACAGAGGCATCACGTTATTTGACGTGGTGGCCAAGTTTTGGTGAACCGCTTTGCTGCAGCAAGGCACGCACGCACTCATCTTAACCAATAGGGATTCCGCC